ACACAGTTTTACTATGTCACCCTCAGTAGAGTGCTGTACATCACAGCTCACAGCAACCTCAAACTCTTAGGCTTAAGCAATTCTTTTGCCTCAGCCTCCCAAGACAAGGAAAAGTTTAAATGATTAATTCTAGAGGTTGAATACAAAGATATTTTATTCTGGGTATCACTTAGGACATAGTAACTTTAATGTTTCCCACATTTCTTGTCTTCAGCAGGGTAAGTTAATGCTTGGTTTCATTACTCTGCTTTAATAGAAGCTTCCAACACTTCTCATCCAACATGTTAATCCTTTTTTGTTTTTCACATCAGAAGGGTAACGTGCCAGTGTTGTGACAAGGTTTAAGGAGCACATATGACACATGCACCAACACCCAATCATCACACTTATAAACTACAAAAGGATCAATCTTTTTTTTTTTTGACACAGAGTCTCACTATGTCACCTTCAGTAGAGTGCTATAGTGTCACAGCTCACAGCAACCTCCAACTCTTGGGCTTAAGCGATTCTCTTGCCTCAGCCTCCCAAGTAGCTGGGACTACAGGAGCCTGCCACAAATGCCTGGCTTTTTTGTTGTTGTTGTTGCAGTTGTCATTGTTGTTTAGCAGGCCTGGGCGGGGTTCAAACCCACTATCCCAGGTGCATGTGGCCAGTGCCCTTAACCACTGAGCTACAGGCGCTGAGCCAGGATCAATCTTTTTAATTTTAGCCATTCAACAGGAATGTGGTGGTAGCTCACTGTGGTTTTAATTTTTATTTCTCTAATGACTGGTGGTGCTGGGACTCTAGGGGCAAACCTGTGTGTAGAATGGCTGAGTCATCTGAAAGGTGTTCTCAATTCTGTCCCAGTGATCTGTCTATCCCAGCACCAAGACCCACTTGTTGAATTACTGTAGTTCTTTCACATATTGTAGTAATGTATAGAACTTGTCAGGAAAATAAACTTTGGTATCTCTTCTGAGTAAAAATAAATGTACAGCAATTTTGAGCATGCATCAGAAAGACTTTCTGTTTTATTCCTCTTCTGGACGTAGAGGAATAAAAGGCCCAGCATGACCTTGTCACTTCTTCTGCAGTTCACAGAAAGAATGGCATGGACCGGGAGTCTAAAAATTTATAGGCAAATGTTTTCTGTAAAGGGCCAGAGAGTTAATTGTCTCAGCCGCATGGTCTCAATTGCAACTACTCAACTCTACCTCTGTAGCATAAAGGAGCCTGGTCCTATAAACATTACTTGTATTATGAACATTGAAACTTGCATTGCATATACTTTTCATGTATTAGTGTTATAATGTAATAACAATAACAATAATATCTGGGGGTTTTTTTGTTTGTTTGTTTTTGTTTTTGAGACAGGAGCCTCAAGCTGTCCCCCTGGGTAGAGTGCCGTGGCATCTCAGCTCATAGCAACCTCCAACTCCTGGGCTCAAGCGAATCTTCTGCCTCTGCCTCCCAAGTAGCTGGGACCACAGGTGCCCACCACAACGCCCGGCTATTTTTTGGTTGCAGCCATCATTGTTGTTTGGCGGGCCCGGGCTGGATTTGAACCCACCACCTTGGGTGTACATGGCTGGCGCCTTAGCCACTTGAGCCACAGGCGCCAAGCCGGTTGTTTGTTTTTTTGAGACAGAGTCTTACTTTGTCACCCTCAGTGGAATGCTGTTCCATCACAGCTCACAGCAACCTCAATCTCTTGGACTTAAGCGATTCTCTTGCCTCAGCCTCCCAAGTAGCTGGTACTACAGGTGCCAACCACAACACTGGGCTATTTTTAGAGACGGGCACTCTTGCTCAGGCTGGTCTTGAATTCCTGAGCGCAGGCAATCCACCCTCCTCAGCCTTCCAGAGTGCTAGGATTACAGGCGTGAGCCACCACATCTGGCCTAATATCTTGTTTTAGAGACAGGGTCTTGCTCTGTCACCTTGGAGTGCAGGGGCCTCTTCATAGTTCATTATAACTTCAAACTCTTTGGTTCAAGAGATCTACAAGCATCAGCCACCCACATAGCTGGGACCACAGACATGTACTACTGCACCTGGCTAAATTTTTAATTGTTTGTAGAGATGGGATTTCACTATGTTGCCCAAGCTGGTCTTAACATTTTGGGCTCAAGTGATCCTCCCACCTCAGTTTCCCGAAGTGCTGTGATTACAAGCCTATAGTATTATTCTTTTATTGTTATTTTTTGGAGTTAATTTTTTTGCCAAATATTTAAAAATGTAGGTGGTGCATGTGGCTCAAGGAGTAGGGTGCCAGCCCCATATATCAGAGGTGATGGGTTCAAACTCGGCCCTGGCCAAAAACTGCAAAAAAAAAAAAAGTAAATCCATTCTTGGCTTGAAGGTTGTATAAGAAATGGCAGGCCTTGGACTACACCTGTGGCTCAGAGGAGTAGGGCGCTAGCCCCATATACCGGAGGTGGCAGGTTCAAACCCAGCCCCAGCCAAAACCTGTAAAAAAAAAAAAGGGGGGGAAATGGCAGGCCAGCTCTGGAAGACCTATGGGAGCATTCTCTGGAATAGGCTGACAGGACCTCCCACCTCAGAGTCTCTGAGACCAGCTGCCAGGAAATTCATCTCAGTGACCAATGGCTCTGCCTGCCCTCCTGGTGTCACTGGGAATGGGGGTTGAAATCCACAGGTGTAACTAAGCCTGTTTAGGATTAGGCCTCCCACACCTGTCACCCCCACCATTCCTGGAGGAGATTCCAGGTGCTGGAAGACAGGAAGACACAGAATCTGGCTATCTGGAAGCTCCACAAAGATGGCCCATTGACAAAGAGGGTTCTGGGAGCCCATTGGTGCAGACCCCTCTGAGGTCACCCTCCCACGCTTTCCTCTGCCACGTGCTGCTGCCAGGGCCCCTCCTGGGTAAAAGCGTCACAGACTCAACTGACCTGTCCAGAACCTCTCACACCTGACCCTGCTCATCTCCAGCCTCTTCTTACCCATCCTCAGCACCTTGACCCACCGAATCTCGAGAGGCCAGGAACTCCAGATGCCCTCGCCCCTCAGGGTGCCAGGTGGCCTCTGACATGGCCCTTCTGCTTAATAAAATCCGTGCTGTGTCCTGTCAGTTGCAGTACAGAACACTGAAGTTCTCAAAAGTGGACACTATTTATCTTTTAAAAATCTGAGCTTGGGGCTTGGCACCTGTAGCTCAGTGCAATGGTTAGGGTGCCAGCCACATACATAACACTGGAGCTGGTGGGTTAGAACCCAGCCTGGGCCTCCCAAACAATAATGAAAACTACAACCAAAAAAAAAAAAGCTGGGTGTTGTGGTGGGCGCCTTTAGACCCAGCTACTTGGGAAGCTGAGGCAAGAGAATCACTTAAGCCCAAGAGTTAGAGGTTGCTGTGAGCTGTGACGCCATGGCACTCTAACCAGGGTGACAGCTTGAGACTGTCTCCAAAAAAAAAAATTCTGAGCTTGGGCTTGGTGCCTGTGCTCAGTGGTTAGGGTGCCTGTAGCTCGGCAGCTTGGGTACCAGTGACATACACTTAAGCTGGCAGGTTCAAATCCAGCCTGGGCCTGCCAAACAATGACAACTACAACCAAAAAATAGCCAGACATTGTGGCAAGCACCTTTAGACCCAGCTACTTGGGAAAGAGAATCACTTAAGCCCAAGAGTTTGAGGTTGCTGTGGGCAGTGACACCATGGCACTCTACTAAGGGCAGCAGCTTGACACACTGTCTCAAAGAAATAAATAAATAAAAATCTGAGCTTGAAATTAGGGTCTTAAGCATCCTCTGGTCATTATAAAATTTTGAAAAAGAAGTGGCATACTCCCCAAATTCAGGGCCCTCTAGTTAGGTTGGTGAACCCTCTAAGACACTCCCAGGACTCTTCGCTGGAGTCAGGGAGGCAGAGGGGCCAGCCTTCCTTAGTGCCCACTGCCAGTCCTCAGGGCTTCTATGAGGACTGATGGAGAGGACCAGCCAACAGTGCCACAATGCCGGGCACTGCACATGCGGTGCTAAAGGCCTCAGCAGATTTCATATGTTGCTGGGGTTAGCTGAGAAGATGGAAGTGAGTGACTGATGCCCTAACTAGGTGACGTGAGTCTCTCTGGCATAGACCCTCCTTGCCCATCTGTAAGGTCTCATATCTGCCCCTCCCACCCCATTGTGCAATTCACCCCCTTACCATGTGCTGGATGATCCGAGGTGGCTCTGGGGCTGGTGGGGGTGGGGAGGTGGTGGGGTAGGTACCCACAGGGGGCCCCTCTGGGGGCAGGGCTGGCAGGTGGGCTCCTCCATTCACCTCCCTCCAGGAGTGGGCCTGGGAGAGCTGGGCCTGGGAGAGTGGGCCTGGGTCCAGTAAGTGTTGCTCCTGCAATGCGAAGGCAGAGCTTGTGGGCAGTGGCAGGGGTGGGGGGCTTGATGGGCACAGGCAGCCTCTCTCCCAGGCTGGGGAACAAGGACCTGGGGTTGCTCAAGCCCTCAGGCCAGCAAGGAGCCACGCTGCTGGAAAGTAAAGCCCAAGGACCTTTCATGTTGTGTACACAGGAGTGTTTCTCTTCTTTTAACTAGTTTCTCATTGCTTTCTTTTCCTAGACAGCAGAGTCTATTCCCTCAGCCCGCCCCCTCCCAAGCTTGCTGGCATCTGCTTCACTGGGGTCCTCTCTTGGAGCTGGCAATTGTGGTGTAGATAAGGCCTTGGCAGCCTGGAACCCACCTCCTGCTGGTGCTGGGCCCTCACTCAACATTCCACCTTTGATACAAGCAATCAGAGCATGTTTCTAAAGTAACAGTGCCCTTGTTAGGGCCCAGCATGGCAGGGTTTACAAGGCCAGGTGTAAGTCTCTCACCTGATCACAATTCATGTTAGCCATCCACAAGGTGCAGACATTAGACAAGGCCCAAGAACCCAGAAAGACTCCCCCTGTGCCTGTGGACTGAGGGTGGTTGCCAACTCAGCCACGGGTGCCTGGCTAGGCCTACCCAGAGCTGCTGCAGAAGGTCCTTCCTTCTCCTCAGAGCGCTTTGCAGCATGGCCTCGGGCCTGTCCCCCTTTCCTAGAGGGAAGCACACATTGCTTACTGAGGAACACTCCAAGGCTGCTGGTGCCCACATGTCACATGGACCTGTCAGAGTGCCCCACCTCATCCACACTCATCCCAAAGCAGAAAGGAGCAGAGCCTGGGGCTGGGGGCAGGGCAGCTCTTGAGGAGGGGAGTCCAGGAAACCCAGTCTTCTTTGAGGTGGGGGCTGTCCAGGGGATAAAAGTTTCATTCCTGGAAAGGAGCTAGAAGTCACGTGGTGCAGATTTGTCCTTGGGACCTAAGCACTGAGTTGCCTCTGCACACCTGTGATACAAAGTCCCTCTGGGTCTGTGAGGCAGCGGCCTTAAGGATGAGTGGGGCTCAGTCTTTGGCCCCAAGCTCTCTGGAGACTGATCTGACCACCAGGTGGCTGCACCTCTCCAGTAAGGTTCTGGAAGGGGTTAGATCATTGCCAGGCCAGAGCTCTGGCCTCCTTCTTCCTTCTGAGCACAGCAGCCCTGCCCAGACCCCAGCATCACACTGCAGCAGGGATGCTGGGAACCCTAATAGCCAGTCCACTGGGGTCTCCTCCAGTATGCATCCCCTCAGCATATTTACAGCCATTCTGTTCTCTTCTCACTGGCCTCTTGGTCAGGTGACTTTGAGATTTTCTTTCTGGATTTGGGACCCTAGGCTCTGTCAGTTTCCCTTGGGAGGTGCCTGAAGACCCCACAGCACAAGGGCTGCCCCATGTTCCAAAGGACAAGAAATGTTCCTCTGGGCCTGTGCACAGCCTGGAGGAGGTCATTTAAGCTCTCTGTGCTCCCATTTTCTCATTCACAAATGGGAATGATGAATGCACCCCTGTTGGGGTATACAGATTACAGAGGAGGAGGTATAGGGGATGCTTCAAAGATGAAAACACAGGCTTCCCCAACTCTGACACAAAGGAAGTTGTGCTGGTATCCAAGGGGCAATTCCAGGCCACAGCCTCCTGCCTCCCCTTGGAGTGGCTGCTCTTAGCCTGTGCAGCCCACGCAGTTCTCACCTGGCAGGAGCTGGGGGCCCTCAGAATCCCTGTCCATGTTCTCTTGTTCTTGCTCCAGCTTCTGTGAGGAAAAGAGACGAGATAGGAATATTGGGTCCAGGCAGTTGCCTGGCATGAGTGGAGGCCCAGCCCACTCTAGGAGTGACTGAGTGACACAAAGGTCATTGGTGTGTGCTCACATCAGCCCCTTGGGCAGATTTCTTGAGAGTTCCAGAAGAAACTATTTGGGTGAGGCCATCTGGGCTTCCTGGCCATTGAGCACCTGATCACTCCACTGGTGTCATGAGCCAAGCAGCTGCTTGCTGGGTCTGTCCCAAGGTGACCCCTGCCAGACCCTCTACTGCAGCCCACAGGCCATCTGGATGAGGAGGTGCAGGGTTGGTCAGAGACCAGTAATGGGTGTTGCAAGAGGAACAATGCAGGCAGCAGATGCCCCTGTGAGTCATGCAAAGACACGCAGGCCACCCAGACCCTCAGAGAAGTTTATGATGAGGCCCAGGCCCAGCCCCTGGGTCCCGGTGTCCTGCACCAGCAGGGCTGTCTCCAAAGGGAATGTCCCTTAAGCACCATGGCTGGGACACTGTGCAGGAGTTTTGTAGGGCTGTGCTCTGGACATGTTCTGGTTGGCAGGTTGAAGCCTGGCTGTTGACTACAGATGCTACTAGAAAGAAGAACCTACTTGGTTCTGTACCAATGCAAAGAAGAAACCAAGAAGCAACATCTTTTCATTTTGAGGCCAAGAGCCACTGAAAAGGGGTTTGCTTTGGAAGCAGGAATGTACTGTGAGGCAGTTTGCCAAAGGGAGAGGTGAGTGTAAAATACAAGGTTCTAGGCTGGCTGTGATAGCTCACACCTGTAATCCCAGCACTCTGCGTGGCCAAGGAGGGTGGACTGCCTGAGTTCAGGAGTTCAAGACCAGCCTGAGCAAGAGCAAGACCCATCTCTAAAAAATAGCTGGGCGCTGTTGGGCACCTGTAGTCCCAGCTACATGGGAGGCTGAGGCAAGAGAATTGCTTAAGCCCAAGAGTTTGGAGGTTGCTGTGAGCTGTGATGTCACTGCACTCTATTGAGGGCAACAAAGTGAAACTCTATCTCAAAAAAAAAAAAAAATCAGTTGTCTTTGCTAAACCTAAAACTCAGCCCCTTTAAGCAGTTGTTATAAACAGGAGTGTCAGGTTCTGTCTCACCTGTCCCAAGAGTTTCAGTGTCAGTAGGGCCATTTGTTCTGCCGCCAAAGAGTCTAGCATGGTGGAGTTGACTGCTGGGGCAGGGGTGGCCACAGCCTATGTCTCTTCCTGGTTTTCAATCACCTGCAGAAGGGAACCACTCAGGAGCTCAGATCCTCTGGAGGGCCTCAGTTTACCTCCTGGAGACCAGCCTCATTGCCCAAAGACAGCTGTGCAGGAGAAGAGCCACATCTCTCCCTGGTGGCAGAGTCCTCAAACCCACCTGGGGCTGCCTTGGCAGTCCCTGGCCTGCAGACGGTTGCCAGGATCCCACTCAAGAGTCCTCACAGGCCCTGTCTCCTCCCCAGACCTGTAAACATCCGTTCCCAGGTGCGGCCAGGTGGGGCGTAACTGGGAAAGCAGAGAAGTGGGTAGGGCTGAGGCCTGAGTAGCAGTGAGTCAGATCCCCGGGGGAGGATGGCCAAACCTAAGAGACTAGGTTGCTGGGAGAGACCTAACGCGAGGGATGCAGCTTGGTGACCGCAGGGTGCGGAGGGGCACACGGCCAGGGTCCGCAATGTGCAGGTGGCTTTGCAGGTGGAAGGAGGGTAGGCCGCAGAGTGTGGGAGGACACAGTAGGGCTCCGCGGGGATGCAGTCCGCGGAGGACGGGGGCGCCCGCAGGACCTTTGGAGATGCAGCACCGCAGAGAAAACTGCAACTCGAGGGGTGAAGCTGGACTCGAGCGGGGGCGGCAAGTGGAGGAGGACGTGGTAGGGAGGCAGCCACGCCCCGCACGAGACTGACCAAAAACTCGCCTGGTCGCCAGCACAGCCCATATGCGTCCATGTGCGTGTTTTATATCTGCCGCGGCCCTTCTACGCCCCGCGTGGTCCCAGAGGACCTAAGGCTGGAGGGACCGGGCTCTAGGGTTTGCTTTTGATGTCTGTGAGCTGAGGGCTTCTTCACCTGAGACCTCTGAAGCTAGAGCAGCGAGAGGCCTTGTCTGGGTCAGGCGGCGCCGTCCAGGCCCTCGTGAGACCCCAGGTCTGTACACGGTTGCAGTGACGGCACCGGGAGACATTGGAAAGCCCTGTGTGTGCACAAAACACGGTCAATTTCAGGGTAGCAAGGGGATGGTCCCCAGTGGCGCACGTTCCACCAGTGGGCATGGATTTGTCAGACAAGTTTTCTTTTTTTTTTTTTTTTTTAAGACAGAGCCTCCAGCTGTCCCCCTGGGTAGAGTGCCATGGCATTACAGCTCACAGCAACCTCCAACTCCTGGGCTCAAGCGAGTCTCCTGCCTCCGCCTCCCAAGTAGCTGGGACCACAGGAGCCCGCCACAACGCCCGGCTATTTTTTGGTTGCAGCCGTCATTGTTGTTTGGCGGGTCCGGGCTGGGGATTCGAACCCGCCACCTTAGGTGTACGTGGCTGGCGCCTTAGCCGGTTGAGCTATAGGCGCCGAGCCGACAAGTTTTCTTTTTAATAGGCTTTTAAAAATTTTTTTTGGAGACAGGGTTTCACTCTGTCCTGGCATCATCATAGTTCACAGCAACCTCAAACTCCTGGGCTGTAGCGATCCTCCTGCCTCCACCTTTTAATAGGCTTTTTAAAGAATAGTTTTCCGTTTACAGAGAAATTGAGAAGTTGGTACCTGAACATTTCCAACATACGACCCCTATTGCAAACTTCTTATGTTAATATGCTACGTTTGTTACAATTAATGATCCAATGAGACATTAACTAAAGCTCATACCGTATTCAATTTCTTTAGTTTTTGCCTAATGTCCCTAATGCAGTATCCCATCATGATAGCAAAAACCCATATAACATACAGTCGTCATGTCTCCTTGGGGTCCTCTTGTTTGTGACAGTCTCTTGGACTCTCCTTGCCTTTGGTGAGTGCTGGCAGGCATTTTGCAAAATGCACCTCTACTGAAGTCTGTACAAGGTTTCTTTTTCTTTGGTTTTTGTTTTTTGAGACAGAGTCTCATTTTGTTGCCCTGGGTAGAGTGCCTTGGCATCATAGCTCACAGCAACCTCATACTCTGAGGCTCAAGGCCATTCTCTTGCCTCAGCCTCCTGAGTAGCTGGGACTATGGGCTCCCGCCACACCTGGCAATTTTTTCTGTTGCAGTTTGGCCACAGCAGGGTTTGAACTCACCACCAGTATATGGGGCCAGCGCCCTACTCACTGAGCCACAGGTGTCACCCTACGCCTAGCTATTTTAAGAGATAAGGTCTCACTCTGGCTTAGGCTGATCTTGAACCTGTGGGCTCAGGCAATCCACCCACCTCAGCCTTCCAGAGTGCTGGATTACAGGCACGAGCCACTGCCCCTGGCTGTTGTATGATGTTCTGTCATGGTCATAAAGAGTTTTTGGGTTTTGGGGAAGGATCACAGAGCTGAAATGCCATCTCACCACTGCATTATCACAGGGACACACTGTCAAGTGACTTGCTTCTGTGATGCTGACCTGGACACCTATCAGGTTCCTCTGTCATAAAGTGACACTTTGTCCTCTTTCCTGTGTTCTCTGAGAGGGATTCATTAGGCACAGCTCACACTGAGTGGTGGGGAGTTATGCTCTCTTCTCCTTGAGGGCATGTACATAGCTTGACAGCTTTCTAGCAGTTAAAAATAGATTGAAATAAGACTCAGGCCCCACATTTGCAGAAGCCTTCTTGGATGCATGCAGAAATGACTTGGGGGGGCGGTGTCTGTGGTTCAGTGGGTAGGGTGCCAGCCCCATATACCGAGTGGGGTGGGTTCAAACCTGGCCCCGGCCAAACTGCAACAAAAAAAATAGCCGGGCATTGTGATGGGTGCCTGGAGTCCCAGCTACTTGGGAGGCTGAGGCAAGAGAATCACCTAAGCCCAGGAGTTGGAGGTTGCTGTGAGCTGTGTGATGCCAAGGCACTCTATGGAGGGCGATAAAGTGAAACTGTCTCTACAAAAAAAAGAAAGAAAGAAAGAAAGAAAGAAAGAAAGAAAGAAAGAAAGAAAGAAAGAAAGAAAGGACGGACTTGGGTTCTGAGGAATATGCTTTAAACGTATCTCTGAGATGGCTTGGCGCCTGTGGCTCAAGTAGCTAAGGCGCCAGACACATACACCTAAGGTGGTGGGTTTGAATCTAGCCCAGGCCCACCTAACAACGATGGCTGCAACCAAAAATTAGCCGGGCATTGTGGTCCCAGCTGGGAGGCTGAGGCAGGAGACTCGCTTGAGCCCAGGAGTTGGAGGTTGCTGTGAGCTGTGATGCCATGGCACTCTACCCAGGGGAACAGCTTAAGGCTCCATCTCAAAAAAAAAAAAAATGTATCTCTGAGATAAAGCAGCAAACATAAGAACCCTCATATGCTCAATCCTGCTCTCCAGTACAATTCCATAAGCCTCTGACTCTGTGACAACATACAGCTCCCCAGAAGGACGCTCTGAAGACAAGAGGACAGAGCACACTGCTCCATGTCTCTTCTTGAGTCATTGTTTCCCATAATATACAAATGACCCTGGTCCTGGCCTTTCCCTGCATGTACAATAATATATGTAAGATCTGTAACCACGTGCTGAACCTCTACTGCCTATGTATAAATTCAGCCAAACACTGAGTTGTGTACTGGGACAGACCTCCCTGAAAGGCCACTGCTGGGCTGTGGTCCTCAGGCTTCTGAATAAAACCAACTTTAATCCTCTTAAAGCTTGATTTTTTTCCTTTAGTCAAAACCTATAACACATAAAAAAAATTGAGAGATTTGCAGAATCTGGGTTTCTCTCTTTTTTTTGAGGCAGAGTCAACTATGTCACCCTGGGTAGAGTGCCGTGGTGTCACAGCTCACAGCAACCTCAAACTCTTGGGCTCAAGTTATTCTCTTGCCTCAGCCTCCCAAGTACCTGGGACTACAGGCGCCCACCACAATGCCTGGCTGTTTTTATTGTTGTGGTTGTTGCAGTTATCATTGTTGGTTAGCTGGCCTGGCTGGGTTCAAACCCGCCAACTTCACTGTATGTGGCTGGCACTGTAACCACTGTGCTACAGGTGCTGAGTCTTTTTTTTTTTTTTTTTGAGACAGTCTCACTCCATCACTCTAGGTAGAGTGCCATGACATCATAGTTCACAGCAACCTCAAACTCTTGGGCTTGAGCAATCCTCTTGCCTCCACCTCTCAGTGGTGGGACTACAGGTATGCACCACCAAGCCTGGCTAGTTTTTCTTTCTTTTATTTTAGTAGAGACAGGGTCTCACTCTTGTTTAAGCTGAGCTCAAGCAATCTACCTGCCTTAGCCTCCCAGAGTGCTAGGGAGACATGAGTCACTCTGCTCGGACTGACCTTGCAAAGTCTGAGCCTGTGGTCTTCCCAGTCCCTGCTCCTTGGGTCGTGCTGTCTGCCTGACCCCTGGCCCTGTATTTGCTGGAACCACCCAATTCCATGTCTGGGAACCAGGAGACCTCTAGATCAGAGCTCAGGTTGGTCTCGAACTAATCCCTCTCACTTTAGGAAAGGGCTGTGGTCTGACCTGGGAAGATAAGACCTGGTGGCGGAGCTTCTATGGCTTCCTGAGGAGATTTTTTTCTTTTGGAGACAGAGTCTCTCTATGTCGCCCTTGGTAGAGAGTGCCATAGCATCACAGCTCACAGCAACCTCCAACTCTTGGCCTTAAGTGATTCTCTTGCCTCAGCCTCCCAAGTAGCTGGGACTACAAGTGCTTGCCACAACGCCCAGCTATTTATTGTTGTCATTGTTGTTTTAGCAGGCCCAGGCTGGGTTTGAATCCACCTGCCTCAGTGTATGTGGCCGGTGCCCTACCCACTGAGCTATGGGTGTGGAGACCCCTTTAAAAGCATTATATATATGTATATATATATATAGATAGATAGATAGATAGATAGATTTTTTTTTTTTGAGACAAAGTCTCAAGCTGTCACCCTGGGTATAGTGCCACAGCATCATAGCTCACAGCAACCTCCAACTTGGGCTCAAGCAATCCTCTTGCCTCAGGTTTTTTTTTTTTTTCTGAGACAGAGTCTCAATACGTTGCCATTGGCAAAGTGCCTGGTGTCACAGCTCACAGCAATGTCAAACCCTAAGGCTTAAGCGATTCTCTTGCCCCAGCCTCCCAAGTAGCTGGGA